TCGCCACTGGCCGAGAAGGCTGAATGGTCGTGCTGACGCCCCGTTCCTTGGCTTGAAATAAGAAGAAGAAAAACCACCACTGAGAACGAACTTGTCTCCAGGTAGGGTTTGCGGACCCTGCTGATGTATTATGTATGTACGTCCTCTCTGTTGCTGTTCTCTTCTCCCCTCGCTCACTGAATACTGCATTCGGAATTATAGTAGAGAGCGACAATCTTGATGAGATTGCGACACTCCCAACCGGGTTGTGCTGAACCCCTGATTGTGAGGTCCTGAAGATGGCGAGTATCATTAACGATCGATCCACTCGTTGCTGCCGGAGCGCCCTCATGCACAGGATGATGGCAGCTGGGTACTCCGTATGCTGTACGTGTTTTTGAAGCCGATATGTGTATTATCATGGTCGGCGGATTTGAGAATCTTGTCATAAGCACTGAGGCTGCCTTCCCAAAATGTGGATTCAAGATTTGAGGCTTAGAGGCAGTGCGCAACCTGCATATGTACTCCGTACATACGCGCGGATGGCACCCGCCTGCCGAGTGCCACGCCTATTTTGAAAAGCTAAGTGGCCCTGGTCTTCGGGTCCCCAGATTCATGTCCAACAGCCTTTCTTGTCTTAATATGAGGAGCAGTCTTTTGATCACCCAGGCCAGCCGTCTCCAAATACTACTCTGCACTTGCCATGGGCTGCGCCAGTTCGGGGTAATCCGAAGTGTATTTTCGCAACAGCCCAGCCAAGGGTTGCGAAACGAAATGATCGCCATGCGGAGAGAACTCTTAGGGAAGTCGGTGGCTAGCTGTTTGTGTCCAGGGTACAGAGGACTGCTGGATATTCGTCACGAGCAAAAAGCATGAGAAACATGCTTGGGCTCCTATTGTGTCTCCGTATTACTTCGACACCCGAAATAGGTTGTATCAACAGTTGCCGGCGCCTCGCTTTAGTTGAGACAAGAGAGGCGGCTTTTTGTGACTTGCCATGACGGCCTTGGTCCTTGAGGGAAATGGCGAGTTAACCGCCGCTTGCAGATGCGGCGAGTTGAGAACAAATTATGTCCAATATAATGTACTTTGGTTGTTCTGCTTGCCCTTTTCCCTTCTGTCCTGACAGGGCCAACGTGTCTTGCCGTGTTCCTGCATTCTGCATTCTGCGCACGCTACTCGTAACAGCAATGTCGAAACCCAATCTCTAACATTCATCACCATGCATCTCATGGATGACGTTGTCACATCTCACAGCCAGCTCCACTCTGATCGAGATTATTGGCATGAGTGAACAAGGCTCTGCCTGCATTTGGAGGTGTTCGCTCAGCTTCGCATCAAAGCAGGATAGGGTTGCTGTTCTTTTCGTGGCTTTGGCTGAGTGGTACGGAGTAATGGCAGGCAAAAAAGCAAAAGCGGGTGAAAATGGCAGTACTACTCCGTACGGAGTCCACCGTGGGATGATCTCGTGAGGCTGTTTTTGCTTTTTCTGGCGTCGTCCCGTCTTTGCAGTGGTCATTACCATGTGTGAAACTTGGTGTTGGCAACCCCACCATTGTCCGGCATGGAATGACTTGTCAATTTTTCATTGAAGCGTTCGTGGAGGTGAAAGACAGCAGGATGCAGTATGGAGTACGGAGTATTCCGTACGTAGTCCCCCAAGCCCAAGTGCCATTTTCGATCAACTTGCGTTTTAAACGGGACGTTGCTTAGCACTCTGTATCAACATGAAGGTGGCCAAACCAAAAAGAAAAGGAAAAAGAAAAAGGAACATTGTCCGAGTTTTTTTTTTTTTGCCAGGTCCACATTGTGTCTCGTGCAACTAGTACCTTCCACAACGGTGGTCAAACTGCTCTTGGTTCTTCCCACGCACAATGCATCTTTCTCTTTACACCGTCTCGCTCCTGCCTCATAAGCCGGTCTGCCATTCCCCGTTTACTACTGTATACCTCCCTAGATAGTACCTAGTAGGTTTCTTGTAAATACTAATTACCTGGAGTATCTACCTAGTATGTACTCCGCGCTCTGTGCTCCATTGCCCGAATCAAAAGTGCTTCCTGCTTTAATTTGTAGGGGCGTTCTGACGAGTTCCCTGGCGATTCTTGTCGCCGCGTCAACCACCAAATATCGCGAAAACAGCCACCTGCATGACATAGCACTCACGGACACCATGACCCAGGCACAAGGAACGGCCCGTTCGAAACTCGTGCTGTGTCGAGGTTTAAGCGCAAACAATCCGAATAGTGAGCACTGCACGTCCTTGCATCGACAGACCAGCGGAGCATTCTTTGGAGCACAATCACCACATCCACGCCTACACTGGACACAAACAGGCTTTAGAATTGATCGTTGGTGTAATATGAGAGGACACTCTGACCTGATCGGGAGGTTGGCAGTTGCTCGAATGGGAATAGTAAATTGCATAGCAGCCTATTTCCAGTCACATCAAGTCAACATGATGGCCCGTGGAATACTGAGCGGAACCCCCCCCGATGAGCCTTGAGTCAACATTGAAATTTCCATGCCAAAGGTCCAAACAAGTCCGCAGGCTAGTGTACGGAGTACGATTTACTCTTTCTCATGAGCGGTATAGAATCTGAAGCGGCAGGGGTACATTCGTTGGCACGAAAGCGTCTATTCGTCAGGCGATATAGTTTTAGCTTCATTGACTACCTAGGTACGGGGTAACCAAAACCGCATTTCCCTCCTCCTGCTTACAGAAACAATGTGATGCAGCAGCATACCGCCTGTTTTTGCCTCATTTGAGTTTCTTCCTTTATCAATACAACTACAGCAACATGGCGTTTTGTTGTGGCAGGGTGTTATCAACGATGGGGATGAGACCGCACGTTTCGCAGCAACAAAAACTGCCAACTTGGAATCCCATCGGGCACGCGGTGTATGCTATTTTCAAGCTCCTATTCACACCGTTAGATTCGCCTGCCAAGTACTCCGTACTGCGCGGTTTCAGAGCATCTGATGATGTATCAGATATCATTGTCCGAAGCCTATGATGTTGTACTCAATGCGACATGGCCAACAAAAAAAAGAGGCGTATCGAGACGAATAACATATGATGGCGTTGCCGTCGCTTGCCAGTTCTCGCAACAAGAGCCGGAACGCACCTCTAACAGGGGCCTAGGGGCCTTGGAAGAAATGTCCATGTCGGGTAGAGACGTGAAGCCTTGTCCGGCTTGCGTTTTGCATGCCTGTATGTCAGACTAGGCAAATCTAAAACGCCGTTGAGGGCTGACATTGGTCAGGTGACTGGTCGGCTGGCCGATATCTGAGCGATCTCTGTGTCCGTCAGATCTCGTGCGAATCGGTCACCTCAAAATCGGTGCGCTGCGCTCTTCCGGTCGGTGTCGCCAGGGCCTTTCAGCTGGAGGCGGTTTCCCCGTCCAGCCATTGGGCGACGCCGCGCAGAACACGCACCTGTGTAATATATCCGTAACTCACGCATTTGTACGACTATCCCATGCAAGCCCTGTCGCGCACGTAGCAGATTACCTGGGAGCACCAGAACGGCCGGGGTAAGAACCTCAATCTGTTTTTTCCCATTTCAAAAAGGCATGGCTAACGGAGTTGTCCATATTTACAATGTACGGAGTACAATGTGGTGATACAAGGTTGCGTTTGTGCCGCAGTTACAAAAGAGTGGTGGCGGTGGTAAGATCCATGGCCGAACCGCGCGTCGACTGCGAGCACCCCCATCCAATGTCGCTCAACTATCGAAACGTCCATGACAAGGTCCTCTTTGTACTATGATCGAGAGGGGGAAAAACTTTTTTCTTTTCAAAAACACAATAGTTCATGTATCGATACATGGCACGCCGAACCCTCCCCCGCCTCCACACCCTCGCGATCAAAAAGGGCCAGAAAAGTTCTAGATTGAAGTCCCGGCCTGGAGTCCGATGAGTGCCCAATAGCACTCCCCTCAGCGAGGTACGGAGTCCTCCTTGGCAATTACATGGCAGGCATGGACTGATTCTGCTACGTCGGTCAGTCTGTTTTTATGTTACAATGCATATACTCCGTATACTGTACTGTATTGGGCGTCTGTGGCTCCATTTTCGAGCCAACAATGCGTTGGTCCGGTCAGCAGCTCGCCGCCCAGTGCATCTTCTGACACACATTTCATACACCAGATACCCTGTTCATTAACCGACTTGTAGGGCCAAGGACCAGACTCTTTCTGCCTTTTTATTGACACCTGATGCGTGATCCTATTTCAACCTCCACTTCTGCAGGTGAGCAAGCCTCCGTCTCCTGATGTGGCGACAACGTCCTTGTGCACGGCGTGTGAAACAAACAAACTATTCTCCGTAAAAGAGACAAATTTAAAAACAAATGAGCCATTTGGAGTACTCCGTAGCCTCGATCGCCAAAGCCATCTCGTGGTTCCCACATCACGATGGCGGCTAGGTGTTCCAGCTTATTGGTGTTCGGACCAACTGCTGGTCTGTTGATACGAATCGTGGCCATGTTCCAAGTCTTTGTTCCCAAACCTCTTTGTACTAGTACAGATGTGTCTGGTTGGCAACCTGCCCATGCTCCAGAGGCGCAATCGGCTGCCGCCCAGTGCAGCATGTGTCATGATGGCGCTCGACGTTGTCAAAATTTCTGGATTTCATTGCTCAGTATACGGATACTCATTACGGAGTACGCTCTAGGTTATAATGTCCAACACATTCACCCTTGGGATAACGAATCTACTACGTAACTGTTTCTCTAGGGAAACAATATGGAGCCAAACTCTATCCCTGTTCTTCACCTGCTCACAAATGAAGGCGGCTAGATCGACATTCCGTCAGAATAACTTGAAACCAAACGCCATGTCGTGTCCCGTAAAATTAGACAGCTGTACTCCGTAGCGAATAGAGTTATAAAGAAAAATACAACCAACATGCTCCGTAATTATGCCCCTCATTTTCTCATTGGACGCTATAAAAAAAAACTAACGAGAAGCACGGAAGGAGAATTTCCCCGCCGACGAGTCATAATAGTATTGCAAGTGTTGGTCAATCGTTGGAGTTTGCCAATCTCCTCCTCTTTGCCAATCTCCTTCCGGTGACAGAGCTGTTAGTTGCCGTTCTCAACGACGACTCGACGACTCGGTAACCAACCGTAGACTCTGTACGCTGCGCCACTTCATCTCCGCTTGAACCGTCCGGCCCAACAACACCCTCTGTAAATACCAAATCACCCCGTTGACCAAGGACCTCCCTGCTGGCTTCTTCGAGCAGGATCCCAAAGGCGAGCAGAGCGGTCTCGTCCATGCTCCGCTCGTCGACGCTACGTCCACCAGTAGCGCCGCCGCCGACTTCTGTTTCCCGATTCACCTCGTTCCTCCTTCGTTCCATGGCCCCGTAGAACTTGCTAGAGTACGCGTGGACCGACTTGAGAAGATCGCTGTGGGGGAGAATGTCCCTCCCGCCACGAGGCAGATCTCTCTCGTGCGCATTGTACACATCGTGCTCAGCGTACCGCTCCGGCGCGTCTTTGCGCCGGAAAAGTACTTCATGGGGGGCTATTGATGTGCCACGAGTAGAGTGCCTGGTAACTTTGCGTTGCCGTTCCTGCCGTTGGTGGGAGTGCCCATGTGAGTTTTTCTGATCTGATATCTCATTTCTGAGAGCCGTGTCTTTGGTAACCCTTCCTGCATCATGTTAATCTCACGTGATGAAGGGTTGGCTCTCGGTTGCATTTTCATGTTTTTTTTTTCCCGCGGTGTGGTGGTAATTTACCTGCAACGGCGTCGTAGAGGGTTGCCAAGCGGCGGCGAGGCAAGATCGGCTTTCCCGCGTCAGAGAGGCCAGAATCTTGAGCATTATCTTCTTCGGCTGTGATTGAGGGGTGCTCTTTGTCCTCTGCATAGGTGTCCATAGTGAAACTGCTGCAGGCTTAAAAAGCGGGAATAGGTACTGTGGTGGCAAGACGATTGTTCGCAACGACTCATCAAGAGTTGGGTTCCCTGGAAATTTTGGCGCGTGGGTGCGTCCGCCTGACTGTCATTGTCCCGCATAGATGTCGTTGTTGGACCCAGAGAGAATTGTTGCACTCATGCCACAAGAGAGAAGTGATGATTCAAGTCGGAAATTTGTGAAGGTTTCGGGATGAGGTTGAAAAGACGTGGGGCAATGTGGGGCCCCACGTCGTCTCAATGCGGACCTATTGGGTGTCTGACATCACAGGGCAAAGTATCATCAACTTCAACGACAACAAAAGCATAATCGCACTGCAAACACTGATACGTCTCGGTCCTCACTCGCGTGTAACTTCCGCTTACGCGTCGTCCCGCGTGTCTCCTCGATGAATGCAGGCCCGCCTCCTGTCCCGTGAAACGGGTGACCATAGTCCCGATGACCTCTCCGAGTCAGTGAACGCAGACCTCCTCCGTAGCTTCGCCCCAGCACCACAACACCGCTTCAACGGCGAAATAGCATCTCAAACGCATCTCGAAGAGACGGAAGAGCGAGCACGCAGTGTTCGCGCTCATGGAGCCGGTGTAAGCGGTCTTGCGCTCGAAAAATTCGACGGGCGCATTCTCGTGTCTGGTGGCTCAGAAGGTTCCATCAAGATATGGGATCTTGACGAGGCACCGACCCCCAACCAACGACATGTCTTCCGTCCGGTGAGCACAATTGCTCGTTCTACCGGCGGGAAGAAGGTGAATGGCCACAGTCACGGCATCACGCATCTGGCGTTCTACCCCTTCGACCCAGACGCCTTCCTGTCAAGCTCCTACGACAAGTCCCTCAAACTCTGGGCAACGCAACGCTCCGCGCTCACCGCAGACTTCCATCTCAATGCCACCATATATTCTCACGCCATGAGCCCCATAGCAGACCACCTCCTTGTTTCCTGCGCAACGCAACACTCCAACGTGCGTCTGGTCGACCTCAAATCCGGATCCGCAGTCCAGGCACTCGTTGCCCACGGCGGCCCTGTCCTCTGCACATCATGGAGCCCGCGACACGAGCACATCCTCGCCAGTGGTCATGCCGACGGCAAAGTGCGCGTCTGGGACATCCGGCGTGCCGGCGGTGTCATTGCACAGCTCGACCAAGAAGATTCATTGGGTGTTCTTCACCGGTTTCGGCACGCGACAGCCTTGGACCAGGACTGGAGTAGTATGCCGCACTTTCGGACATCTGCCCAGGCGCACGATGAGGCCGTGAACGGGTTACAATGGACAGACGATGCCAAGTACATTGTGTCGGCAGGGTTGGACCGTAAGATCCGAGTCTGGGATGCGGGCACGGGAGCAAATACTCTTGCGAGTTTTGGAGCCTTGATTCAGAATCGGCATGCCAAGACTGCTACCATGGTTGTCACATCGTCGGGCCTCTCAAATAGCAAGGAGATTCTGATTTGGCCAAACGATCAGGAGATATTGCTGCTTGACCTGCATGATGGGAATGTAATTACAAGGTTGCGCAGCCCTGGTTCCACCAACCCTGTAGGTCCTCGGGGCGGAGAGTTGGGCAGGAACAGAACAACAACGATTGTATGGCGAGGAGCGGGGGGAGGGCCTGGACAGATCGGAACCGTCATGGGGGGCGGGAACTCGGTTGGTGCGATTTACAGTGCTCACCTGGACGGCCAGATTCGTGCGTGGATGCCGCAGATTCCGGGACCGGAGGACATTGATGAGACAGAAGACATTGACGAGGATGAAGAGACGAGAAGGAGGAAAAGAAAAGCCGTGGACAATGCGTATAGAAGTTTGATGGGTAGACAGATAACATTTACTGGCACAAGCCGGTAGTGTATTTGATTACGGAGTAGACGAATTATATTTACCCCCATCTACAGATGCCTGCCTGTTTTCAAGAACGCAAGCGCTATGAAGTGAAAGAATGAAGAAAAAAAACCCAACGCCTGCTTCCCAAATACCATGCCATGTCGATTCCCATCTAAACAGTCACCACCAAGCAAAGCCAACCGTCAGGATACGCCGCCTCCCGCATGAGATCCGCCAAGGGCGCATCAAAAGGCACACCGGCGCCATGCATAACCACCCCGGCCAACACGGGGTCCCTACTGCTCGGGAACAATTTCGGCATCATGTCCTTGAGCGCCTGGCCCAGCAGCTTTGGCCTGCGGTCAGCACTTGCCGCCGGCACGAGGGACTGCACGATCCTGAAGGAGCCGGCGTCCCCAGACACAGCCGGGTCCTGGTGCTCCGGCGCAGAGGGGATGTACACCCGCACGGGAACGTGCTTCAGGCTGGTAGGCGCATTCAACAGCCTCGTATTGACCTTGGCGAATAACCCGTGGTCATTGTCGATGACTGCGTTCCACAGCTGGGTGGTGTGCTCCTTGGACATTTTCATGATTTGGTTCGCGTTGCCGTTGCGAACAAAGTCTGCCTACATGTTTGAACCATTAGCAATTCCCTCGTCCTTCTCTCCGTAACTTGGGGGGGGGAATATGTGGGTGGCGCGTCGTCTACCTCCTTGACACAGTTCAAAAAGGTGTCCCCGATATCCCACCCTACTCCGTCACCGACGACCAGCCGAAACGGCAGCGTGGGCTGGTACAAGTCCACCAAGAGGCCTACTGCCAGATTCCTCAGCTGGACATCTTCAAAGTGAAAACTCGAGCACGCCGAGCCGAAGAAGGCGGAGAGTCGGGGGAGCAGGAGTGCGAGGTAGGAGAAGCGTGGGACGCTGGTGATGAACGGGGCGGCGGGTGATGAGGCGTGCGTGACGTGTAGCGGGATACGGGCGTCCCACAGCGTCTGGGCAATTGAAGGTGCCATCATGAGGGAGGCATGGTGAGTATGGGAGGAGCTTCGAGGTTGACGGATGCCCGACGATGAGTGACTGCCCGTTGGGTGAGGCTGTAATATCACTTGAAGAAGTCCGGTGTCATAGGGTAAGTACCCAAGTTGGGTGGGGTGCAAGAGTCAATGCTGAGATAATGCGCAGCGACCCACTTTGTCTAAAGACAAAGATGTCAATAACTAATGAGAAGTATGAAGTTAAGTCTGTTGACTTTTCAGTATTGTACCGAAACCGAGTCAATATTTCAGGGTCTTAGTTTATTAGTAACGAGCATTACTTGGTTAAATCGCAGCCACAGTTTCATGTTCACGGCCTACATTTACGCTGTGGGAAGAAGCTCTATTACTATCCGTTACTAATTCAAAAATAAATATCCATTCCTCAGACAACGTGAGTGAGTAATAAAGCTCCTTTCTACAATGTGGATACAAGTCACGACTGGCAAGAGGAATAACGAAACTAGATAGCTCGGAAATATATCAATTCATTCAATAATCATACTAGTACATTACAACTCGTAAAATCATTATTCCCCGACTATAAAAGAACCATCCTTACAAACCACGATATTCTTCCTGGTGTGACACGCTGTGTCTCTTGGTATGATCGTGCTTCGCATGATCATGTTCCACAGTCGGGGCGCCAATGTGCTTCTGCAATACTGAAGGGGGAACCTGCGCTGCGTCTGTAGGATCCTTGTGGCCCATAGCCTCGCTCCTGCAAAAGCTTGTTAGATATTTTGCTTCATATAGAGTTGGGAGAAATCAATGAGATGAGTTAGAACCCACTCTTTAAGGCTGCGCGTACGTCTTGTTGCCGCCGAAGGTCTTGCTGCCGTCAAGATCGCTGTCGACACGAGGATCAGCTTTGTTCAGCAAGTCGGACTTGTGAGGACCGGCAGTGTTCGGGGCTGGTCCTGGCCCGGCGCCGGTGGTGCCAGCGTGAGTGCCGTGAGTGCCGTGAGTGCCGGTGGTGGTTCCAGCGGTGCCAACGTGCGTGCCAGTAGTACCAGCGTGAGTGCCGTGAGTGCCATGAGTGCCATAAGTGCCGGTGGTGGTTCCAGCGGTGCCAACGTGCGTGCCAGTAGTGCCAGCGTGAGTGCCGTGAGTACCGGTGTGAGTTCCGTACGAGCCAGTGGTGCCAGCGGTGCCAGTAGTGGCAGTTCCATGAGGGTTGGCTCCCAGGTTACGGCTGTGGTCTCGGTCAGAGTCAACACGGGGATCGGCCTTGTTCGCCAAGTTAGACTCGTGGGGGCCATCAGTGCGACTAGCTGGGCCGTCGGTGCCACAATTGATGCCAGTAGCACCACCTGTGCCACTGGAGAAGAAAGCAGCATTGTCACCAGTGCCAGTGGTACCAGCGATGCCAGCGTGAGTGCCGTGAGCACCGGTGTGGGTTCCGAGAGAGCCAGTGGTGCCAGTGGTGCCAGTGGTGCCAGTAGTAGCAGTCCCATGAGGGTTGGCTCCCAGGTTACGGCTGTGGTCTCGGTCAGAGTCAACACGGGGATCGGCCTTGTTCGCCAAGTTGGACTCGTGAGGACCATCAGTGCGGGTGGCAGGGCCATCAGAGCCACGGTTCAAGCCCGTGGTACCGATGGCGGCGCCAGTAGTACCTGCAGAGCCAAGACCACCAGTGGTGCCGGTAGTAGCAGTGCCATGAGGGTTCATGCCCAAGTTGCGGCTGTGATCACGGTCAGAGTCGACACGGGGATCAGCCTTGTTCGCCAAGTTGGACTGATGAGGGCCATCTGTGCGCGTAGCCGGGCCAGTAGTACGGTCACCACCAAGAGCAGTAGTGCCAGCGACACCACTGTGATGCTGAGTGCCACCGATACCAGTTCCGGCGGTGGTGCCAGTTGTAGCAGTGCCCTGTGGGTTCATGCCCAAGTTCTTGCTGTGGTCGCGGTCCGAGTCGACACGAGGATCGGCCTTGTTCAGGAGATTGGAGTTGTGAGGACCATCAGTCTTGGAGGCCGGGCCGGAGGCGCCACGGTTGGCTCCGGAACCATAAGTGTAGTTGTCTGAGCCGGCCAAGGAGGTGTCGTGAGTTCCAGTGGTGCCGCCTACTGGGCCGGTGGTGGTGGTGGTGGTATCATGGATGCGAGGCTCAGCGGCACTGGTGGTGTGAGTGCCAGTGGTGGTGGGATGTGTTGAGGAGTGAGTTCCCTCATGGCGTGTGGTTTTGTCCTTGTCGGAATGAAGAACCTCTTTGACTTTGTTGACGATGGAAGACATGATGGCTGATAGTCTTTGAGATGTTTGGTGTTGGATGGGGTGTCTGAGTAAGTGTATGGGGTATTTTTATGAGTATAGATGCCTTGTGTGTATAGGCGACTGTTTGTATGGTTGAGTGTCTCAGAAACGATGTTGTGGGAAGTCCCAATCGCATGTTTATATAGATGACGGAAACCAGACACAAGTGTGAGGCGTTACCCTTTTCGATTCTTGCACGATGAAATCATTAGCATCCATCGATGGCAATCTCCATGACGGATCACGACTTACCTGATCTTTGAGCCCTTTCGTCATAGGACCCTGGGGTAAGCAACACCATGGCCAGGCCTGCTTTTCGCCCAAACCACATGGCGGTTACGAAGCCTCGTTCGGGTGAGATCATGCTCAAACAACCATTGGCTTGTCGCCTTACACGATATCCCATCAAACCCCATCACCAGCCTCATTAAAGTGGGGGACCGTGGTGCATCATATATTGTAAGCGTCATAACGACCCTCCTGTGACGTTGGAACTTGGCAGGTCGATAAACAAGCTCCTCAACTCCGGACACTTGTCTCCGCTATGGAAAGCTTGGTTGTGGTGGGGGAGCCGACAATGGCGCCGGACTCAAAGGACCAGTTGACGTGAACGGGTCAAATTGGGGTCGCCGCTAGACGGTCGGCTTGGCCAAAGCCATGGATGCATGGTGGGCATGCAGCTTTGGCGCGGTGCAGTGTAGGTGGCATGTAGCTGGAATGACGCAACGAGGGGGCAGACAATCTGACGACGAGACGATCAATGGGACGTGCAGACAGGGCTGTGGCGGTGGTGGCACAAGAATACGGAACACCGAAGCCAACAAGTGCTACGCAATGGCATCATAGATTCATTTAGTGTGGCTGGTGAGTGTCTGTCCAGACGAGAACATTGAACACTTGCATGGCTACTGCAGTCGATGGCCTAGAACGACATGGCAGTGCTGAATCCGACAGCAAAATGACGGCATTTGCAAAACTCGCCTTGGAAGATAGTTGCCCGCATCTCGATCTCCCCGATCCGCAACGTGCTCAAGGTGACATGCCCTCCTTAGCCGCCGTTGCAGGAACTATTAGAATTCACATGCAGTCCATTGACCCTAGACCGTTTGCTGGCTAGTGGCCGAGAGTAGAGTAGCATCATGGCTTATTTTGAAGCGTTGCGTGCGGCGAGAACTGTGTGCGAAACGCTCGGAAGCTTCAGTTATCACTAGCCGCGATTTTCATAGGGCAATGAGAATTCAGTTTAATATACCAAAAGATTGACTCGTATTAGTTGCTAACCCTAGGTGCAATGGCAATGCCACTCGCTTCAAACCAGCAGGTCCACCAATTCATCATCATCGACATTATTAAACCAGCAAACATCTGGGTATCGCGAAGCCAATTCCACGTTCAGCCACAAATAATAGGACCCTTGACCACAGAAAAAAAAAACCATCGTCGCTTCGTAGACGTTCCTTTACGACATTGCTTTACATTTGTCCAACCTATTCCTCCCAAGTGAATAATATATTGGCAAGCGCTGGCCCGTAGACCAAAAGGCCTCTCGCGCGTATCGAGCATCAGAGGAGTTGGATCCTCTAGACGTGGCTGCGGCGATACCAACGGCGTCGGTGAGGAGCCGTCTCGGCGCGAGCACGGCGTTCCTGCTTTCGCATCCAAAAGATGCCAATAAGGGCAGATGCGAGCCAGAGGATGGCAGAAAGGAACGAAAAGGCAAGGTTGGCTTTGAATCTGCCGCACTGGTCGCCCCGGGGCGAGACGTTGTCCCAGTTGAACCAAGCACCGCAGGAAGATCCCAGCAGCTGCATATGTTAGCCAACCACTCATGAAGCGGCGACAAAAGTATACTTACATTGGCCAGCAAGCCAAAGGCAACCCACCAAAGAATGCTGATGAAGATGTCCACCGGCGAGTGGGTGAAGGTGCTAGAGAATGGGAATAGCCATATCAATGCCAGGAATATAGATATGCCTGCGACGACTACGGTGTAAATGAATCTTCCTTGGTCCCACGCACTGGCGTGGGACTTGTGCAGGTAATCTCCAGTAACACCAGCGACGATGGCGGCGAAGACAAGCTCGGCCGATCTGAGAATGAGACTGACAAGGCGATCAAGAGCCATGGTGATTTAAAGTTGCTGGCAGATAAAGATATGAAAAAAAAGTAAGTGGCGGATAAGGCAGCACGCGCTTAGATACCTGTGATGCCAAAGAGTGGGCTGCGATTCGGTTTGCCTTCTTATATTAGCCTTTTGGTGTTGGGAAACCATGGCAGGGGAAGCAGGGCCTTTTATCTCCAAGACCAACTGGAAAATGTGACGCGCATTACATACGCATCCTGAACCAGGGGTTATAAAAATGCACTGGGATTGACATGATGGGTTCCCCAGACACCATGGCTGATCCTCATCAAGCCGGCTTTTGACCCCCTGTTCGACAACGCACCCAGAGGGCATGACAAACTGATTATGTGCAAGCATCCGGACGAGGCGAGTTGGGTATCCAAAGCACACGAAACTTGGCATCGGTATTGGCAAGTCAAGGTACGCGTGCGCCTCAAGGGTTCTCCACCAATCACTTAAAAACAAAACGCTGGCTTCGCCCTGGAAGAATCCCCCAAAGGTGCCAATCGGTTGCAGAGTGCATCGAATGAGGTCATTTCCAACAGAGTGGTGGTGTGACCTGTCTGGGCAGACCCGAAGCCAACAATCCGCGCGCAGC